GAGTGAGGGGTCCTTCAGCCGAGATAATCTCGCTCATTTCGTTTCCTGGTTTGTGAATCTTTGGTAAACCTTTGATCCTAGGTAGAATAGGGTTTGAAACTTTCAATTGATTCGTAGTGTTGCCAATAAACGCCTTACACTCTTTCAACGTTTTATCCACATCATTAACCATAGATGGGAGGGGGTCAATCCTCAACTCTGGGTCAACAATAGAAAAGGGCCATTCAGCATTTGTGAACAAACCGTTCCAAAGCCCATTCCTCACAAATCGAAGGCCGCCCACACAAACCAACACCATCATCGTGTAGGTGGAAGTTTATCCTATCCGATGATGGTGTTGGTTTGCGTAGGTGGCCTTCGTTTTGTGAGTAAAGGGCTTTGGAATGGGTTGTTTACAAATGCTGATGGGCCCTTTTCTATTGTTGATCCAGAACTGTCTGTTTTTGGCTATTAGTATTTTTCCGTCATCCGATTTTCATAGTCCTCTTTGTCCAAAATCACTACCTTTGTCCGCTTTTGTATAGAATACCGGCTTTGTTTTTAGTTCTTTGAAAATTCGAATTTCCTCTTTTTCGGTTTTACTAAGTGAATGTCCCTTTCCGTTTTGTATTGTCTCTGAAATAAAATTCCTGGCAGTCTCGTGTAATTGAATAGTGTGTTAGTGATTGCAGTCTCCATGTCAACGATGCCCAAGTAACATTGCTAGTTTTATGGAGGTTTTAAAGCATGCTAAAAATCTAAATCATGGTCTACAGAACCCTTATAAAACCGAAATTGTTACTTGGGTGGCTTCCACGTCAGGTTTTGAGGAGATCGCATATCCTAATCCCTTGTTGAGAAGTGTCAATTGTTCTCCTTAATTTTTTCACGTAAAATATGTACAGTACAAAATTTTAAACAACTATGGGTAAGAAATAAAAATAAGTATAATAAAAAAAATCTCTACAACATTTTTTTATTTTGTTTCATTAGAAGGTTTATGAAAATACTAGCGTCTCTGATATTTTCAATTTGTACACTTGAAAATTAACAAGAATCATTGAACAACAACTTTTGGTAAAAAAAAAATTTAATTATATATATTTTTTTATTTATGTTAATTTGTAAGGTGTTTATCTCAAAAACTGCACAAAAGAACTTTTTTATGAAAAATATTTAAAAAATATTGAAGAGAGCAATGCTTTGTTATTTAAGTTTAAACACCTTTTATGATTTTTTACCCAAAACTACTTGACATTTTTTACCATGTGTATTTTTTCTATAACTTTGTCACAGTCGATTGAAAGTGACGTTTTCGAGTTATGATTTGTTGACAAATATCAAATATGCCATTTTGAAATGTTTTGCGAGATTCAAAATTGCCGAATTTTACCTCAATTGTGAACGATCTTAACAAAATTGTGCAAAGTTTCATTCAATTCAGAGAAGGTCGCGTAAACTGCTATATTGGTAAGAACCAATAGCACAAAAGCGACGCGAAAAATGTGGTCCACATACAAGAGGGTTAATGGACGGGCAATATAATCCGGCACGAACTATTTAAACAACGATGTTGCTTAATTGGATCAAAACGGGGACTGTAACCAGACAAAACACTAATGTTTCGATTGCATTGGTGCATCGTGATCGAATGGAGCTCTGCAAGGTACACACAGTTTAGAATCCTAAAGAAGGGTTCGTCGTTTAAATGGCGCAAAGTTCTCCCTGATTTTTGTCTTTTCGAATAAATATAAAATTTTGTACATTTTAATTAGGTTATCAAATTAATGGTACATATCTTAAACCGTTATCACAGCGTACCTTAAGGGGAGTGCAGAAAATAATACATAAAGCTGCATGCAATCCTGTTAATATCACCCCATCTAGGTACAAGAAGGGTGCTTGTTAAGCATGGTTCCTTTTTTATTACTTCATTAGTGTGATCGTTCCATGAAATATCAAACCCGATTGATCGTGTCATCGTCCGTATGTTGATGGAGAATAAATTATCTACACCAAACCAAGTTTCAGTCCTTTTACTTGAACGCTTTGATTAACGAACGACACCGGGTAGAGAGAATCGGTTCCTAAAAACACGTAAACGAAAGATGCAAATAATAAACTTGTGTTTTCCCATAATGGCGCTTGGCACGGTTATGCGTAATCGCTTTCTCAGATCAATAACATGTACTATGTCATACATAGGAGTTTAAATATTGGTTTGTATGTGAAGACGATTATCTTAGTGTTAAAATATGGACTAATAAACATTGTCGTTATTATTTTTCAAGCTGCGCTGTGTATGAAAAGGAAACCCTTAAACGACTTAAGAGTCATTGACGAGCTCCTGCAGCGTCGGTCAGCTATATTGCAGATGAAAATTAACATAATATTGCTAATCGATTTTTAACGAAACATTGAACGATTATCGAAGTTTATTATTTTTATTATTATTATTATAGAGTTTTGGCACTTATCAGCAAAAATGCTGGAAAATGTCATCTACCCGGGCTGTCTTTATGCCAAGGGGGCTAGGCTCTGTGGATCTCATTCGTCAGATGACTTACACCCTAATTTTATTGCTTCAGTCGGATCAGTTATGATAATGTAAGAACCGTCGGACAATACTACAGGTTCCAAGATTCACTGCTTTCTGAATGCTGTTCAGTTATCTTCGTAGTTCCAACTCTTCAAATACAGTTGGGAACAGGGAACAATTCCGCCAATTCCTCCGCCAAATCGTGGTACTTCAGTATCTTGGTCGTGAACTTTGACTGAACATTGCGATTTAACGGTACAGCGATATACCCGCTTCATCCTTTTGTCGAAAACCACAATGTCAGGGTGATTGGCACGAATGTGGACATCCGTAATGATCTCGCGATCCCAGTACCCATTTTTATGCAACTATTTCCCAGTACCGGGTCTGGCAAGTACTTGTAGTAGGGTACGTACTGGTTCACCAAGTTGTGCTTCAGTGCACGTTGTTGGTGCACAATCTTAGCGACATCTTTGTGACGACCGAGATACGCTACTTCTGCCAACGCTTGGCAACCAGCAACAACACGTTTGATCGTCTCCCCTACTGCATTGCATTTTCTACACCGGTCTTCTACTTCTTCGTGCAATATGTACCTACGGTAGATCTTCGTTGCAATGAAACCTTCATTCTCTGAGAAGAGTTCACCTCGCACCAGCCACGTATTCGTCGCCACACGCGCTTGTTCCAACTGATAGGGATGCGCCCCATGCAGCTCCTTCAGCTTCCACGATGCGACTTTATCTTCGACAGTTTTTAGGTCGCAATTCAACTGGTAGTCTTCCTGCGCCATATGCAGGGCGCTGCACCTGTGGTCTGCCTCACAAACAGCACGGTAGACTTTTTGACGGTTCTGACTTTCTACGAAGTAGCTCCGCAACTGCTGAATCTGGGAAACACATAGCACTTGGATATCAGTGATGCCTCTTCCTCCTTCATGACGTGGCAAGGTGACTCTCTCGACGGCCGACTTTGGGTGATGCATGCGATGCTAAGTGAACGCCACTCGTACTGCTCGCTCTATCGCCTCCAAGTCTGTTTTGGTCTACTTGATCACCCCAAAGCTGTAGGTCAACAGGGGCACGGCAAACGTGTTTATCACCTTTAACTTGTTGCCGGCCGACAGGAACGACCTCAGAACACGATAGATTCGATACAAGAACTTTTCCTGCAGTTCCTTATTGATCGTTGTATGGCGAATCCATTTCAGTTGCAGGAACCACAGGTACTTTTAGGTTTCGCCTTCAACCATATTCAGAATCTCCTCCTGTTCGTTGATGCGGGAACTGCCAGTATCCACTCTTGACCCCGACGGATATTGACTGTTCGAAATTTATCGACTCCAAACTCCATCCGGATGTCATTACTGAACACCGTTACAAGCTGCAAGAGACGGTGCAGCTTCTCCCCTGTTTCCACAAACAGCTTCAAGTCGTCCATGTAGAAGGTGTGGGTAGCATTTGTGCTTCTTTCTCCACTGTTCAAATGGTAGCCATAGTTGCATTGGTTGAGTGCTCTGCTGAGGGGATTCATCGCAAGGCAGAACCATAGCGGACTAAAGGTACCGCCTTGGAAAATCCCCCTTCTTATGCTGAGAGTTCTGGACCGTAACACCACTGCTCCGTCAGTAACGTGGAGAGATGTGCTCCACATTCCCATTGCGTGCTGCATAAGCCTGATGACTCCACCGTCCACCTTGTACAACTGCAGTACCTTGAGAGCACTTTTTACAGGCTCGAGGGACATGTTATTGGCCTGTACTTGGCTGAATTAGCCGTGTTTTGGTCCTTTGGCAGAAGATAGGCTAACCCTCTGGTAATGAATCTGATAGCTGTTGGGGGTTTTCTAGTACCATATTGAAGCATTCCGCCATCCGCCTATGGATTGAGGTGAACTTTTTATACCAGAAGTTATGCACAAAATCTGGTCCTGGTGCAGCCCAATTCCTGATACACCGGGTAGCCTCTCGAATATACTGGGCGTATCGCCTTAAATTCTATTCTTCCAAATTAAAGTTTATTGAATGCTATAGATTTTACGAAACCGCAATATTTAACAAGTATTTAGCAGGCCTCCCTTAGCTCAATCGATAAGACGCAGCTTCAAAGCATAACCTTGCTGAAAGCGAAGAGTTTGATTCCAGGTCCGCTCTAGGATTTTTTGTTTCGAAAATGTTTAGACTTTCTTTGGCATAGAGCATCGTAGTACCAGTTAGGAGCAGACGTAAAGTTTCAGTTAGCACGGACTAACCAAAACTAAACAAAAATCTAGTATGGGATATTCATGGCACTACCGTAAGCATAATACTTGAGGTGCAGTTACTGGATCATTTCAAAAAAGTAAATCACTACATTCTTTCAAATTGATGGTAACTTCGGCAATTTCGATTGCCGAATCATTTAATTCGAAACTTATCACAATTCAATGCACTGAGCTCTCTGCTAACATACATTAATTATTGTTTTATTTTATCCTCCCATAGGACCGGTCCCGCAACGCATCGGAGCGACTATCGGCTACAACTACCCTTACCATTGATGTTGCCGATTCGGATGATCAGGATCCGTCCTTTATCTATCGAGGGTGTGTGCTGCTGGACGGTGCCTGTCTCAATCCGGAATACATCGCTTCCGTCCCAGCTGGAACTCTACAAGGCGTCCTTACCGTTACTCCGGAGCGAATACAAGCCATCGACCTGGACACGATCAGTGCGCCTATCCGATACTCATTCCTTAGTGGAATCCCAGGTAATTACGATGACTACTTCGAAATAGATTCCCAAACGGGAGTGTTGAAGCAAACCAAACTGGTGGACTCGTCTGTAACAGCGAAAAAGTACGATATTATCGTGAAAGCAGAAGAGGTTTCAGAAACGAAACGATTTGCAACGGCTAAGCTTACCATTCACGTTAAACCAATAGACGCATACCCTCCTGTTATCGGCATCACATCAACAGAGGGATATGTTGATGAAAATTCTCCAATAGGAACAACCGTAACAGACTCTAAAGGAAACCCGATAAAACTAATCACGACCGATGCAGATGCTGCATCCGAAAACGAACAAGCCGAATACATCTACGAAGTTACGACTCCCTCCTTTGTCGTGTCCAAGAACGGAATTCTTCAGGTTAACGAAGAAGGTTTGGACCGGGATCCACCCAGTCAGGGAAAGTACAGATTTCAAGTGGTAGCCCGTGAAGCAAATGGAAACGCAGCAAGTGCACCAATGAGTTTGACGGTTCACCTGAAAGATGTAAACGACAATGCTCCAAAATTGGCCATGGTACCTCTGGTTAGCTTGACTGCAGGAGATGGTCGACGATTGGTAACTAAGGTGACAGCAACTGACAATGATTCCGGAGAAAATGCTGTTATTACATATTCCATCTTTCATGTTTCAAACAATGGAGCCAACAAATTTGGCATGGATCCAAAGACCGGTGAGATTGAAACTAGAGCGAGATTAAACGCCGGTGAACAGTACAGTATTACAGTTCAGGCTTCCGATATTGGAGGTTTATCTTCGCAAGCTATTGTTGAAGTCTCAGTGACTCCAGGGCCGAATACAAAGCCCCCAAGGTTCGTGAAACCAGTGTACGACGTACAGGTTAGCGAGGGAGCCGAAATCAACTCTACTGTCATAGTTGTGAAGGCTGAGGATCCAGAAAACGATCCAGTAAAATACGCCATCACCACAGGAAATGATCTACGGCAGTTTTCGATCGGAAAAGAAAGTGGAGTTATCAGCGTCATTCGGAAACTTGACAGGGAAGACTTAACGAGGTACCAACTGATCATCAGAGCTGAAGATAGTGGGGGTCTGGCTAGCAGTGCTACTGTCAACATCAAAGTTACTGACATTAACGATAAAAATCCAGAGTTCGACGAAAGTCTGCTGCCATACGTGTTCACCGTAGACGAAGGAAGAGAGAACGCCGTAATTGGAATTGTTCATGCCACCGACGCAGATGAAGGCATGAATGCTGAAATAACATACACGATTCCATCTGATATACCATTCAAAATCAACTCTCGAACGGGGGAGATTAGAACAAAGTCTCAACTAGATTACGAGAAGCAGACAGAATACAAGTTTGTAGTTACCGCGCAGGATGGCGCGCCAGAACCACGACTGGGAACAGCAAGTGTAACCGTCAAAGTACGAGACATTCCTGATGAGGTTCCTAGGTTTCTGGAGTCAATGATCGAAGTCAAGATCCCGGAAAATGTACCAGATATGGTTGTCACAACTGTACGAGCATTTGATCCCGACACGAAACCAGAAATTACCTATGTATTGAAACGAGGTCCTGGTGATTTATTCAAGATTGATGCAAGGACAGGATTGATCAAAACTATTCGTGGATTAGATTACGAAAAGGATAAGATTCATGAACTAATTATAGGCACGGTAGAAAACAATGGCACCAATCCAGGAGATTACATTAAAATAATGATCGAAGTAGAAGATCGCAACGACATACCTCCTGTTTTTGTATCGATTCCGGAACCAATCAATGTCAACGATGACCTACCAATTGGTACGATTGTAGGCTCGATGCCAGCCGTGGATGGCGATGGCTCATCGCCTGGCAATGTGGTTCGCTACGAAATGGTTGGCCGAGGAAAGGCCTTAAAATACTTCCAGGTAGATGCAGACTCCGGTATAGTTCGCATTCGTGACGAGCTCAACAAAGAGGATGATACAGAATACTTGGTTGATGTACGTGCTTACGACATGGGAGAACCTCAGTTAAGTTCGGTCGCAACCCTACCAATCTACGTCAGTCACATCCCAGCTAATCCAAATGACTCTGCGGAATCGCGAGTTGATGCCGGAGGAATCGTTAACCTTGAAGTACAAGGTCTTGCCTTCAGTGACGACAGCTACAGTACGAGCGTTCCAGAGTCTACAGGAATCAACGCCACCATCAAGCTTATCCAAATTATTAATTCTAAGAAGGCTACCAAACACAACGGAGGATTCCGATGTGAAATAATCAAAGGAAATAACTTCAATTTGTTCCGGATCAGTATTGAAGATCATGCTTGTGCGTTGGTGTTAAATGGACCTCTGGACTACGAAAAAGCATCTAGTCACAACCTAGAGGTTCGCCTGGTATCCAACAAATATTTTGTAAACCAGCATAAAAATTTTGCTCAGCTCAAAGTCATTGTTCAAGATGACAACGACAACATCCCTATGTTCCAATTCCCTGTAAGCTACCAGCAGGGAGTTCGTAACGACACCTATTACACTGTGATCAGTGCTGAAGCCGATATGGATACGCCACTGATTACAGTAAAGGCAGTAGATAAAGACGCAGGTGTTTTCGGACAAATAAAATATAATATTTACGATGAAAAAGTAAACGAAATCCCAAATGACGACTCACCTAGTTCGTTCTTCACTATCGGTGAGGACAACGGAATGTTGAAGACCCAAAAGAGATTTCAAAATGTAAAACAAACTCCACTGGTACTTATCGTAGAAGCTCGGGATAACAACGGTGATCCGTTGGCAGGAGTAGTGCACAAAGCGAAGGCCAGGGTTGTAGTAAATCTGATCTCAGACATCAACCGCATGGCGCTGGTGTTTTCCGATTCCGCTCCCAAGGATGTGAGAAGACATGTAAGAGCATTGGAAGAGTTGCTGCATGAAAAATCTACAGGTCTCATAACCGGAATCGAGCGGTTCAGCATTAGAAAGATTCTTAACGAAAATGGAACGGTTGAGGAAATCAATGGAGCAACTGATGTTTGGTAAGTTTTTTTTTAATGTTTATTCTACGAATAGTTACTAAATGAAACTTTAATGTAGGTTCTATGCTGTGGATCCAATGTCAGAGCGAATCTTGGCACGTAATTCTACGTCGGTTATGAGTACTATCTTGACTCCAACCGTTTTGTCGCAAATTAATTTCGAAGCATCCAGCATAGCACGAGCGACAGCTCAGGGCATCTTTGGTCCAGTCGAACCAAAACAACAAATTCAAAAAGTTAAAGCAGCAGTAGTCGTTAATGACGATGTCTTTCCGTATGCTCTCATAGCTGTTGCGGTAGTAATACTTATTCTTGGATCGATTGGAATCGTCTATATTTGTATATCCTGGTCAAAGTAAGTAACTTTTGTTAATCATCGTTAGTAGTCTAGTACATCATCCATCCTATTCCGTAGATATAAAAATTTCAAACAGCGTATGCGCCAATATAATGCCCCTGCTAGCCCTGTACGCTACGATCCCGTTATAATCAACTCCCAAGCCCCAGCAGCAGAAAACCAAACTAGCCTAAAAGAGTACGAAACCCAGGTACTTGCAATGGCTGTCCCTGTAGACGAAGGCGACGACCTTCAGCTAGATTTTAGCGCCAAGAACCATGCCTTCAGTCTGGACAACGTTAGCTACATCACACACAAGGAAAACGGTATGTAACCCCGGTCCTAACCCGAGTGCTTTCTACGTTCTCTAGACGCTACTGTCTCGCTTTCGCTCTAGGTCAACACAGTCCTACGAACTCCGACGCGACGACCGCTGTTGTGGGTACTTTACATCGCAACAACAATAACAACACCAAAAACAATAACAACCTGAACATAAACAATCGACAAAATACCCTCAATCGAACTCTTGAGATGAATCGTAACAACTACCTGAATCCATTAGGTTCTGTCAGCAACGGAACACTACCGGGGACGCTGACCTTAGGGCGGATAAAATCCGAGAGAAACAATTACATCAATGGGTAAGAAAGATAGCTTTGCAATGTTCCATTACAGATATTCGTTATGAAAATTGTCCAATTCCAGCTACGGGGATACCCTCAACAGAAACAACCTGTCGATGGCCCAAAATAATACTTTCAACACGTTGGGCCGAAACCATCGGAACAATAACACCAACAGTAGCAACGTCAATAACATAAACCACCACCATCACAATCACAACCACAATGGTACCGGAAATGGGACGGAGATTGTTACTAATACGCTGGGAAGGAACAATCGCTACACATCGGACGTGCCAATCAGTAATCCCCTTTTCCACATTCGGTAAGTTGATTAAAGGGTGTCCACGATGAAATTGCCACACTATGAAATTGCTCTAACTTTTTAACCGTTGGGTAGAATTTAATGAAAATGTGGGTAGATTTAGTTCATAGTGCATTATTTACATCCTGCAAGTTTTAAAGTCCTGTGATCAAAACTCGCGGAAATGGAGTCGAAAGAACAGCTCGTGCGTGATAAAATCTTGCGCATTCATCACGAGAACAAGGATCTCTCGCATCGTTTCATCGCTAAAACGTTGGGAATCGCGAATTCCACGGTGTCGCGAGTGATTAAGCGGTTCGAGGAACGGTTGACCACCGATCGGAAGCCCAGAAGTGAAGGAAAAAGTATTCCGTACAACACCAAAAATCACAACCGCGTAGTTGGGGCCTTCAACCGAAATCCGAACGCCTCCGTTAGGGATGTGGCTAAGAAGCTGCACCTAAGCCGAAGTTTTGTCCAGAAGGCCAAAACTAAGGCTGGGCTTCAAACGTTCAAGGTACAAAAGGGCCCTAATCGCGACGAGAAGCAGAACAAGTCCGCCAAAACCCGTGCCAGGAAGTTGTACCTCAACATGCTGACGAAAGTTGAATGCTACATCATGGACGACGAAACATATGTGAAGGTCGACTTCAAACAGATCCCCGGCAACCTGTTTTTCACGGCCAAGGATAAGTTCAGCGTTCCGGAGCATGTCCGCACTCAGAAGATGTCCAAATTTGCGAAGAAATTCCTGGTTTGGCAAGCCATCTGCACGTGCGGGAAGCGGAGTGCACCTTTCGTGACCCAGGACACGATGAACGGACAGGTGTACATAAAAGAGTGCCTCCAGAAGCGGTTGCTTCCTCTCCTGAAAGCCCACAACGTCCCAACAATCTTCTGGCCGGATTTGGTCTCATGCCACTACTCCAAGGACATGCTGAAGTGGTATGCGGACAATAAGGTCAATTTCGTGCCGAAAATGTTCAACCCTCCCAACACTCCGGAGCTCCGCCCCATCGACAAGTACTGGGCGATTATGAAGCAGCACCTTCTTAAACGACCTAAGGTAGTGAAGACAGTCGAGGAACTGAAGAAAGTATGGGTTTACATGCAAAAAACGGTTGATTCACAGGTTGTGCAGAATCTTATGGCCGGGGTTAAGGCCAAGGTGCGGGCATTTGCGTATGGACTGTAAATAAAATACGAGTAAAATGGTAAAATGAAGTTTAATAGTTATTTCTCAATCCCTGAAAATTTGATGGAAATCGGATGAAAACTCGAATTTTGCGAATCAATTTTGTGTGTGGCAATTTCATCGTGGACACCCTTTATGGTGTCGATTGATTAGGTAACCTACGATGTAATTTAAATTTGACCATATTCCTACATAAACTGATTAATATTTGAACAGTTAGCAATTACAATAGTAATAATGAAAAGTAACGTAGCTACCTTATTGAATTCTCCAAGCAGAATTTTACAAACACTAATGCAGCGTGTAAATTCATAGTATTCTGATAGTTCTTACAGCAATACATATGTATGCAATTTTTATACAATACATATATGCATTTATGCAGCTGGAGAAGGCTATAATTATAGGCTATCGGCTATGAGGTTAATTCAAAGTATAAGTACAAGAAAACCGTGTACATATACTCACACCTATACTTATGAAGGACCCAAATGAACAATCGTCAGAAAAGCAATTGGCTCTGGCCATGCATTAATTATGTCACGCAAAATTGAGAAAGACCCCCACCCACCTTCTACCCCCTTTTCACCCCTTTTGTAACGTTTTCCTATACCTAATGCACTGCCTATCACACAATTTTAAACCCCAGCCCCCTCCTCTCTTAGACATGATATAGGCATACACTGTTTTTTCCGTACTCATAAATTTTATCCAAACTCCTAAAATACATTTTTTTGCTGCGAAAGTTCCAAAACCCGCGTGAACAAAACCTCATTCGAAATAGCTGTGGTGAGATCTGACCCAAAAACGCTGGTGATATAGTGGAAAGCGTGACTGCTTTCTCACCCCAGTGTGTCTGGGTTCAATCCACCCAAGTAACTATTAGGGTTTTATGATGGTTTTGTGCGCTGAGGCAAATAAACTTAAGAATACCAGTTATGATTTTTTTTCGCCTCAAGGATTTATTATGGAAATCATAAGTTTGACCTATGAAACATAATTCATAAGTAAAAAAAAAACATAAATCAGCTTATCAAACTTTTAAAAAAGTATTATAAAATGGAGCAGACTGGATTCGAACCTTGGGCGTTCTAATAATTGAGTCCGTGAAAATTGAATAGGCTAAAGGCGTATAAACCACCTAATGTAGTACAATGAATAGGATAAAATGATAAAAGGCTTGCAATTTCTCATTACAGCTAAAATGCTATTTTTCGAAATAATGAAACTATGAGATATAATAATAATAATTTGTACATGCAGATGCGAGAAGAGGAGGTAAAATGTGTGTATGACTGACACATAAAACCTGTCAATTTTGCTGCCAAAGGGTCACAGTTAGTGATTTTTACTGTAATAAGCAATCGCGATGAGTGACCGCTCATCAGTATAGCTAATCGCTGATTGTGATACTCTAGAAATGAAATTAACAGGTTTTATGTGTCACACACAAACTTTACTTCCTCTTCTTGCATCTTAAAAATAAATAATATCGTTATAATATCTCATAGTTTCTTAATTCCGAATAATACCATTTTAGCTGTAATGAGCAATTGCAAGCCTGACGATAACAATTCATAAGTCATGCTTATAGAATACATAAGTGTCTTGTGAATCCAATTGTTCAGGTTCATAAGTCATGCCTTATGGAATTTTTAACCCTGGCCATTCGATTGCCGTCAACACAGCAAAAAAAAATAATATCACATCAAAGTGGATGCACTTCAATCAACAATCAATACGAAACTAACGATTTTAAATTGGCTCACCACTTTAGTAGCCTATTGGTCCCAAGCAAACGATTAACGTACCCTATTCTAGTTGAAATTCTATTACTACACTATGTTTGTTTTGATTCGCTATGAAAGTTTGACAGATAACATCAGGGGTGTGTGGATTCATGCAGAACATGCAGGGGTGAGTGAAATAGCTTGGGACTGCTTGGGACCGTTGTTCTGGTACTGAGTGAGCCAAAAATAATAATGATTTTCTTCGAGACCCAGTGGTCTTAGAGTTACCTCTATGCTTCAATCGTGTCGAAAATATGGTGTAATACTCGGTGTAATATTACTGGCCAAAAAGGACAACATTATTATTAATACAGTGCATGAACTGACATTACGCTGCTTTTACTGCATTTGTTTATTGTTGTGGCCATAAAAATTACATGAGGTTTTTGACATGATTGAAGTGCATCCTCTTGGATGTAATATTAAAATTTATGTTTGCTGTGAATGGATGGCAATCGATGTTCGTTGGTTATTGGCACTAGATTGCGAAACAGAGACCGATGTTAAATAAACGAATCATGAAAAATTAGAAAATACCGTGCCTATTCAAATTTCGGACACTTAAACTCGAATTTCGGACACTTTTAAAAGTTGATTATCTCGGTCGAATATGATCCACATGTCTTGTAAATTTTAAATTTTTTTGACTAGTGCCCTCCACGATCATATAACATTATTACTTTGTTTCTAACTGGATGTAATATTTAATTAAAAATGAAAGTGTCCGAAATTTTAATCGTCCGAAATTTGAATCGGAACGGTATATGACTCCCAAGCAACCTGGTTTATACAAGGTGTGAAGATCTAGTCCAGTCTTGGGCGTATCCAGCGAGCCATCCTTCAGCTTGCTCACAATCTCCGTCGCTGGCGAGAGACAAACAGACGAGCACTTTTGCAAGCCGTAAACTTGCTGATTCACGGTAACGTCGGCCACCGAATCACCACCAAAACTCACGACGGACACGTTATCAGCACTTTCCCCAGCTAATTTGCCAACCGGACTCGATAGAACTACACGCCGAAAGTTTGATATCCGAATACGGTGAACCGGGAGGCAATGAAAATCACAAGCGAAGAACGTGCGAAAGCAACCTCGTCGTCGTCGAACGGCAAAAACGGAACTCGGTGAGCAATTTTGTGATACGGAGTTTCCATTGAAAATCAACCGGGAATGCACGAATTTACCCACACCTAACTGCGAGAGGCACTTTTGGTACACTTTCAATCAGGGTGTCACAATATCAGCTTCAATCGACGAAATCGATGCGACGAAGAGAGCTGGCTTTCTTTTTCTGTTAAAGTTGAACAGCTTCGTAGCATTCTAGAACCTCAGTCTTTCTCCCAAGCTTCGGTGAAACGGGCGAGCGAAAGAGCGCTCGACTTTGATAGTTTCGTCTTTCATGAAACACATCAACAGAGGTTTCATGACGTATATGACGGAAAATGAAAATATATATTTAAAGCATTTCTCACGGGAAAGCACTTGAAGATTATACGTAATATGTTTAATTTATCTTCCATCCACATATTTATCTAAAAAAAATTGACGAAAACGGAACACAACGCATTTTAAACTGATTCAAAGAGTGGTGATATAATGTTCGTGAAAGGGATTGAAAGCCATAATGAGGTTTCGTTTAACTAGAAAATCGACGTAACATACATTGAAAGCAACGACGAGAAGATCCACAGTCAGCCTTTCCTTCTAAGCGTGCTTCCTTTTCATTTTCGTTTCTTGCTGATAGTCTAGCTAGGCGTTATAAAAATTAAACATTGAACACGTTGCATGAGAGAAACAAAACTCAAGTTCATTTTAGAACTTCGAAAATGTAGAGCCCTGCTTTCGATATCAATTTCGGTCGAAAACACTTAATTTTTTGCAAAAATAGTTGCCAGCGAACCAACATCAACACCGACCGTACCGAGCTCTTTCACGCACCTTACAGCGCGTAAATAAACTGAAATTAAAAATTATCACTCGCGATGCCACAAATTTCTGGTCCGGGAGAAAAAATCAAACAATGATGCTTGCAAACACGACGAATCAAGTTTTCTTTCTCGATTCTAAAACTTCCCGGAAAGCGAGAAAACAACCAATCGCACACGTGTTACCGATTGGGAGGCAGAGTGCCAGCGCTAATCAGGCAAATGCAGCCGAAAACTATGAGAACAAACTTAAAACACAACCGTATCTGAAGGGGTTCGAAACTGCACCTGGAAGAAGAAGAGCAGTGGAAGAAACATTACGAGAATAAAAAATACGAACCGAGAAGGATTGGAAGATTACGTCACAGAGAATTCGTTGCAGTTCTTCGAAACAAAGACTATTTCAAGACTTTTCCGGGTTATTTCCAAACTAGTTAAAAAAACAAAACTCTTCAGACCACGGAAAAGGGAACTTTCAAGTACAAAATAGGACGACTCTCTTGTTGAATTTCTATTCTGAACCTATGTGCAAATGTGTGCTGGAATTTGACCATTCCCACTCGTTCCCAGCCTTTAAACATAGCATGCTTGACATTTAATTTCTCAACAAAATACAGCACGAAGCCGGCTCTTCGAAATGATGCCTAAGACAACGTTGTACATAACATAAAAGGTTAAAGAACAGGAACGAACTCACCAAATAAACGATGGTTCGCCGTGAAGCAAAAACCTGAAAGACTGTTGCATCTCCTAATTCTAGTTCAACAATTCACAACATTCCATTGGATCTTCAAAGAATCTCTTGCACAATTCGCCTCTAATCAGAATCCAGTTAGCGAAGTTAGCGATTTTCAGAGTTGGTTGGAAATGCTAACATGAAGCTTTAGTTTGATAATTTATTAGCTAGTGAATGATCTTTAGAAGAGGGTAGGTGAATAGTTCCGTTAGAGTACGGCAGTATGAAAATTGAATAAAAGTTTGAAAATGAGCGAAGGGCCATTAATGCGACAGTTTTTGAAGTCAGACGCACATCTTTTGCCTAACCCGTACGATGTACGCGGAGACTTGAGACGTGGGGCTTTAGGTAGTGATGAAACGTCGCTAGAACTATTCCACAGCCGCAGTCAGTTATGAGCAGAAGGAGGACGCACATCTTTTGCCTGTCGACTTGAAGTCATACTTCAAGTCTCCGCGTACATCGTACGGGTTAGGCAAAAGATGTGCGTCTGACTTCAAAAACTGTCGCATTAATGGCCCTTCGCTCATTTTCAACCTTCTGTTCAATTTTCATACTGCCGTACTCTAACGGAACTATCCACCTACCCTCTTGTAAGGATCATTCACTAGCTAATAAATTATCAAACTAAAGCTTCATGTTAGCATTTCCAACCAACTCTGAAAATCGCTAACTTCGCGTATGAAGTAACATAAAAAAAACTTTGGGCCTTTTTATGTTTGAAAGCTGACTTATGAATTTCACTGTTTAGACTTATAAATTCTGTTTCATAGATAAAACTTATAATTTCCATAATAAATGATGTGGTGAAAATATAAATGATTCTTATGGAATTCTTTTATTTGCCTCAGTTATGCAAAACCGTTTACTTTTTTCTTAAAAAAGCCAACTAAAAAAATGTGTCAGTTCAATTTTACGAAGGTTTTGCTCAGTAGTCAAGCCCCAAAGCTGATCGATCGTTATTAATTAACTTATCCTCTCTTTTAGGCAAAACGGAGATCTGCAGTCTCAGCCCCAGCTCAACCATACAAGTCCCACCAACGAGAATGTAACCTTTGGTAAAAGAGACTATAACCAACTTCCATTCTCCTACCTTAACGATCTGGATCGATCGGATGCAGAAACGACTACTGAACTATAGGTTTTAATAAAAATTAAAATTATCAACACTCCAACGACCACCGAAGAAATTCGTTTTCTCACCAAAACGGCTAACCAAGTCAATGGTCTGCGGAGAAGAAAGAATGGTGAGAACAAAATTTACAATAAAAGTTCAAATTTGTGAGAAGCCATCCTGGAACGAATGTGTAGATCAACTGCCTTTTGAGTTAGTGTATAGATATTTTAACCGTTGTTTTATTTTTGTTATGTCGTAAGATTTTACCTCTAGATAGCTGCAATATTTTTATTTGTTTTCAATCTTTTTTTTTACATTTATGTAAACCTATGTGGCATTTTTCTATATAAATATCTACACGATTCTTAACAATCTAGTTTTATATACATAACACTATCCCTTTCTTATCACTGAGTCGATTAACTGTGACATTCATATTTATAAAGAAACCCGAACGAATGAAATATTATAAAAAGTCTGCTTCTTTGTAAATAGTAAGGATATTGCGCTTAAATAGTAGTACCGAACTATTTATGTTGGTACACACTTCATCCATAATGTACATATTGAGTCATTCGATTAGCTGATAAGATAGGATCGAAAATCAACAAGAGGTTTAATTAAATAATTAATATGAGCTATGGAAAATCGTTCACCGTCCCAATGCAATGTTTGCAGTGCGATTCTTCCAGGAACTGAAGCTGTTTATGGTAGAAAAATTGTAGATTTTTATTAATTTTACTTACGGCTACAGTATTGTTGGTTAGGGATAGAAACTATCCTTTACAATTTTTAAATAAGTGTAAAAAGAGACGCATACACGCTCTGGAAAAAGAGGAAAAATAGAGAAGAAATATTACTCAGTATATTGTAAAACCAACCTGATTGAGATGAAATAAATGGAGAGAGAGAGATTATCAAATAGAGCTGTTTTACTTTCGTTCAAGTTATGATATATTTTGGCCCACAATCATATGTTGGCCCACCTGGCTATATTTTGCACATTTTACCACGTTAAAAACTTTAGAATATTGTGAAAGTTACATGAATTTTTTTACAACACCTAGCTCATTCCGTTTTTGTTTTCAGTAGAAGCTTCCATTTCGTGGTAGTAAATTGAAAAAAAACACTCGTGCTGAATTGGTCCACAATCAATAGGAGACGGCATAATTGAACCCAACTTAACTTAACTTAAAATGTATATATTTTGAACATGTGAATGTGATTGTTGCGTCAATTAAATTCCATTGCATCCGTTTTTTAGCTCGAAGAAGCGATAAAATGTGTTAAAATAGTGATCTGAGGCATGACAAAAATATGTTCGCCATTATCTGGAGAAAACATATTTTCGCCATACCCGTTATAACCAATTCTGACAGCGCTTTACCATTCGTCTAAAGACTGGAACGCGCAAAAATTGGTCGACAAAAAAATCGTTTCTTTCAGTCAAAATTCATATTACAAAAATTTTCTTATTTTTCTTTTGGTAGTTCAATTCATATATTTAAAGGAAAAAATGTTCATTTATTCTTTTTGTTTGCCGAATCCGAACTGCCGTGTCTTCCGCTTAACCCCTTCCATTAAATTTTGTACAGTGGTCTCATCGACCTTATTCGCCGCCTGGCGATCATTTATAGATTTAAACTGCTGCTCGTTTTCCATGGATTTATTAGTTTTTTTTTTTTTTTTGGAGATTCCGTTTGACTAAGGCCTAATACTGTTCGATAGGGCGAAGTTCTGGGCTGTTGGGATGGTTGTGGTCTTTGGGTACCACAACCACGTTGTTCGAATCGTACCACTCGATTGCCTTTTCCCATAGTGGCAGCTCGCCAAGTCCGGCCAGAACATTATTTTGCTTTAGGAATGGTAGCAGCCACTTTTCCAGGCACTCCTGGACGTAGATCTCTTGATTAATAGTTCCCGTAGTAATGAAAATGCTACTTTTTAGACCACACGTGCATATGGCCTGCCAGAAGAGATATTTTTCAGGAACTTCGATTGTTTGATGGTTTTGAAAATTTCAACCACCTTCCCTTTTCCTGATGCGGTATAAAACTCCTGTCCCGGAAGCTGCTTGAAATCCGCCTTCACATAAGTTTCGTCGTCCATGACGACACAGTCGAACATTGTGATCAGATTCGTATACAGCTTTCTGAGCCGCTGCTTTGCCGACGTGTTTTGTTTGTAATCTCGGTTCACCACCTTCACCTTCTTAAACGTCGAAAACCCGGCTCGTTTTTTGGCCCGCTGCACAGTAGTATGGGAGACATTGAGCTTGCCAGCGACGTCCGGGATGGAAAGGTTAGGATTCCGCTTATATTTCACCGCCACCTTCTTCGTCGCCGCTGCCACATCCAGATTACGATTGCCGCCGCTTCCAGGCTTCCTGGCGGTCGACATACGCTCCCCGAACACTTTTAAAACGTTTGTCACGGTCGATTTGGCCACATCCAGCAATTTTGCCAACTTGGCGTGTGAGAACGTTTGATTCTCTTACTGCACGAGCAAAATTTTGACACGCTGCTCCTCTTGCTTGGACGTCATTTTGAAAACTGGAGAGCAAACGGTGAAAACTCATCATAGCAACCATTGTATATACACTCAACTTCCAAATGCAGCATTTCAGGTTTTTTTATGCATTTTTAACAGAAATACACCAATTTGAAATTGACCAATTTTTGCGCGTTTCAGACTTTACTCATCGTTAAGCAGAGCAGTAGCAACAATCAATACGAAACTAACGATTTTAAATTGGCTCACCACTTTAGTAGCCTATTGGTCCCAAGCAAACGATTAACGTACCCTATTCTAGTCGAAATTCTAGTACTACGCAATGTTTATTTTGATTCGTTATGAAAGTTTGACAGATAAAATGAGGGGTTATTGGTTTTTCCTATGTTTCGAGGGGTGATTCGACAAGCTTGGGACCACAAAGCTGTTGAGGAAGAGAAGAAAAGAGAAGCTGAAGAAAAGCAAAAGAAGGCTGAAGAGCGAAAGAAAAAACAAGCACAAAAATCGGAGGACAACACAACAGAAGGCTTAATAACGAGATGAGAGCAAACAAGCAATGAAATCAAAAACACTGGAGTCGCTTTTAACGCGGGTGATTCGTCCCGCGTAAAAACAAAAGTAGAAGGGTCTGTGTCTAGGGGCACGAACGGAAGCTTGACGTAGGACCGCTAGTTGACGGAATAGATGTGAAGAGCATTTAGTTCTTTTAATTGATCAATTATCTATTATCTCAACTCTTTCCGTTTTTGAATTGTAGGCGTACCAAGTTTGTAGTAATTTTTTTCAAAGAGAAAGTTGATTAAGAGAATCAATCAAACTCACTTGCACCCCTGCTTCCAAGTTTGGTTACAAGATTACAACTCTGGAGAGCATTTTGTGTGGTCGTTGGGGGCTTGTGGTTCTGAATATGGACAAACAAGCACAGATAAATTCTATGTAAGCTTGATGGCCCTGAAAAGGGCCGTTTTATTGAAGAGGACACCCATGGCCACTTACGCTTAGCGTGTTTAGTGTGGGTGACAGCATCACGGACCTCATTTTCCAGGAACACCTTCAGCACACCTCGTAGATCCGACCGGAGATACGTTTGACACCACCACGGCGAGCCGGACGACGGAAGGCGGTTATCTCGAAGAACTTTTCGATGACTCTTGGCGCCTCCTTTACCAGACCTGTTCCTTCTTTGCCACAACAATTGTTGCTTGTTAGGTGTAAAGGAGTTGCTGTTCACTATACAGCAGCGCTCTTTTATATCTTTTCAGGTTAAAGCAGAATGATGTGCAACCAAGTAGTGGTATAAAAGCTACAAAGACTCATCTCATTATGACTAGTTTGCTATCAAGTAGCGACACTGCCTCTTTTCCTTTTGCGTACACGGCGAATGAGAACGACCCAAATTTGAGTTTAGTTCACTCATAATCGCCAAAAGTGCAGGAACTCAGCGATGAGTAAATTTGTCTCATGGTTTCCTGTGCAAAACCTAAAAAATCTGCCAGAAAATAAGAAAATTTGATTAAAATTTTATTCACTCTCGGAGTAGTACCAATACACTGAGTGAATCCAATCTTTACTTTCCTCAAATTCGGGAATTTTTCCCTGGAAAAATCTGAGAAAACATGAGGCAAATTTAATCATCGCTGAGTTCCTGCACTTTATTTCTTATATCTGAGATAACTAAACTCAAATTTGGGTCGATCTCATTCGCCGTAATATCACCTTGAAAGATATCAGTGCCGGTGGTTGGCCTGGTCCAATCTCAGTCGACTCCACCGGCATGTTCTAAGGCATAACATTCTGATCACGCCTTCCTTCGAGAAGTAAAACCGTTGGTCCCCGGTTGAGTTGATGGATCGATTGGTAGGGTCCAAGTGTGGAAGCTGCCTCCCTGGCGTCGGTAGCATTGTAGTTCAGTACGGAAAACAAATCTCGCGTCACTTTCCAATAGGTCCTATCTACATTGATCGATTCTCTTCATCGACACTCTCTTTCGTAAATAACTCGGTTTCACAAATGTTTCCTGCCGTCTTCGTCGAATTAGATGCTAGATTGTTGATTCTTCCATCGAAAATATCCGGCCGTGGCGATTCCAAGTTTATCAAGGTTGATCAAAATAATTTATACCCCTGCTTGCAGTATGATTACATGCGCATTTTGTGTGGTCGTTGCTTCTGAATATGGACAAACAGGCAGATGGCTTATATTCCTACTCTTTACTGTAATAAGCTTGGTGGCCCTGAAAAGAGCCGTTTTCTTGCCAAAGTTGGTGATGATTTAACCTCCTAAACCAAACAGAGTGCGTCTCTGTCACTTCAAAACGTAGATGACATCCATGGTCGCTAACGCTTCACGTGTTTAGTGTAGGTGACAGCATCACGGATCTCATTTTTCAGGAACACCTTCAGCACACCTCGTAAATCAGACCGGAGATGTGTCAGACACCGCCACGGCGTGCCAGACGACGGATGGTGGTTATCTCAAAGAATTTCCGTTTGGTTCTGAATATTGCGATTAGTGTGCAAAATATTACGCAATTCCATCCTCCCCATTCGCGCGCGCCCGAGGATCGGAGGCGAATGCCACTTCGACTTGTTTCGTCTACTTAGGCTCTGAACCATTTGGTGGATTATTTTAACTTTTGGTTAAAATTTGACAGATGGAAAGTTATCGATTAACCCTGCTATCCGAGCGTGGTTATTTCTGACAGACAAGAAGTTAAATTTTGACGACCGTGGCTCGAAAACTGGTCGATCGACAGCACGGGGATTTTCGAACATAAGAAATAACTTTCGAAATGTCACTTTTAACTACGAGTTAAATTTAACTCGGCAAATGGTTCACAGCCTTAGGCTCTGAACCATTTGGTGGATTATTTTAACTTTTGGTAAAAATTTGACAGATGAAACGTTATCGATTAACCCTGCTATCCGAGCATGGTTATTTCTGACAGACAAGAAGTTAAATTTTGACAACCGTGGCTCAAAAACCGGTCGATCGACAGCACGGGGATTTTCGAACATAGAAAATAACTTTCGAAATGTCACTTTTAACCACGAGTTAAATTTAACTCGGCAAATGGTTCACAGCCTTACTACTCTCTGACGACTGTGCTGGGGAAGCAGCATATGCATGGAGGTAATTGGTGGATTTGTTAGTTAATTCGACGCTTTTGGACAATTCTGGACATTTACCAGTTTTTCAATAGTTTCTTGTTGAAAATCAACATTCGGAAGCATTGTTATCGATGCGTAGCCATATTTCTGATCGATTGGTGATAAAATTATTGAAATTGGACCAGGGACAGCTGAGTTATTAACGTTCAAAATCTTTCTTAATTTGTTACATGTTCCATTTTCGGTTTTCACAAAGTGTACCCCCATATAGAAATCAAAGACGTAGTCCTACGTCAAAAACCGTGTAAATTCCGAAATCCGCGTAGAAAAAAACCGCATAAAAAAAACCGTGTAAAAAAACCGCGTAAAAAGCGTACATACATAGGATGTGCAAACAAAAATACTATCCCATCTGGCGGATGAAAGCAAAAGCTTCTAAGAAAATTCTATTGCAGCGAACCACATTATTTTAATTGATTTCTTCGCCAGTTAGTCGTCTGTCACTTCGTTTGTGATGAAACTCCTCATTTGCTTATTTAATTCACACTTCTAAATTAACATTGTCGAGATAATTGTGTTTAGATATGCGGAGCAAACTTGACAAAGGTAAAAAGTTTGCCTAGACTTTGAAAAAAAAAAACGGTGAGTTTCATTCTCGGTTTCATTTGTGTCGGAATACTCAAAACGAGGTAAACATAAATAAGAGACTCACTTTACTAAATCAACACTGATAAATTTAACTATTCCTATTTTGCTTGCAATTTAATCAATTTGACATTAAACTCAGTTTAATCATATCGAATGATTAAAATTTAATCCTTTCTTTCTAAAAAATAAGCATCTGATATTAATCCCAGTTTAATCATGGTTGATTAGATTGTAGATTATCTTTTTTTGAATAAATTTTAGTCATTTTTGACTCTATTTTAATAATTTTTGGTTGAATTTTTATCTCATTTGATTGTATATCAGTATTGAAAATGAAAAAAAATTAATACTGGAAAGATTATTTCGATTTTAATCATGCATGACTACTGCCGAAGTAATCATGGCTCGGACTCAATAAGTTGAAGCGGGAATATGCATACTTTTTAAGGTTTTTTTATTTAATTTATCTTTGAGTGAATGTTCCACAGTTTTTGACATTTTGATCGAAATTAAGAAATTGAATAGAAGCTACTCACTTTAGGGTAAACTGAGCAAGCGTGCATGCTATTTTTAGTGACCCGAAAATGTTGTCATCCCTAAGAACCAGGTGGCACCACATACATTTTTTTTGTGGCTGGGATTTTGGTGCCCGAGTTGGTGTCTCAGATGATGCACACGCTATTTCAAAACTTACCAAATTTGAGAAGAATTCACCTAGATCGGTCAAAACTGAACCTACCCAAAATGAGTAAACTATGTTGGGAGTGACAAGTTGACAAATGAACACAGTCGATCGGATTCACGTCGATATAGTCCATTTGTCAACTTGTCACTGTCAACACAGTTTATCCATTTTTGGGTTGTTCAATTTTGACCGATCTGGGTGGATTGTACTCAAATTTGGGAACTTTTGAAATACCATGCACGCATTTTGAGGAAATTTTGGGTTTGGGTTCCATTATTAATGCAGATTACGAATATGCATTAACCTCAATACCCTTAAAGAACCCAATTCTATCTAATTTTCTTTCATTACAAGACTGATGAGTTGAAAAGTTTTTGTATGAAAATCATTCACACAGTGTTCTGTTTTGATTGTTGTATGTATGATTATAACGCTAATTTTAAATTATATTCATACGCCTTGATTCTATCAAAAGATGAATTGAATGACGATCTTCTTAAAATCATCTGATAATAAGCATGGGGCTTGGGTGATGCAAAAATCATTCAGTAAACGGCGGGTGTTTACGTTCAGTGTAGGAATGTTGCCGAACATGCATGAAGCAACTATGTATTAGGTTTTGCACCGTCGGGGTTAACCTCAATCTGATGACAGTTCAGTGGTACTGTTTACGTGGACTTAGTCGATTTTTTCTTGAGTGGATTTTCTCTATAATCACATTTCTGCAATATTCACGAGCAACAAATTTGCAACGCGCAGTTCCTCGACAATTTTCAAGTTAAAATTCGGAAATTTTAGTGCTTGTAAACAGTACACTGAAACAAGGACCATAGTAATGAATACTATTTTGCAGAAAACACTTGTTTTCAATATAACGACGCTTATTACCGTTAAATCTACTAGGAATTTATTATAGTTGACTATGAATGTTAAAAAAATTACTATGATTCTGACAAAACTACTATGCTTGCTCAAAATGCATAGTAATTTTGATAGAATTAATAGTAAATTTAAATAAATTTGTTTTCTGCAAAAATCTATTGGTAAAGGTATTTAATTTAAACCAGCAATATAGTATTTATTCCAATGGATTTTGTTTCAGTGTACCACTGAACTTTCAAAAAGGTTCAGCCGATTAACACTGAGTTCATTCGTGACGTCACGCTGCAGTACCTCCTTTGGTTTGTTTTTTCCGTCGATCTTGTTTTCCGTGCTGAGCACCAATTAGGTTCTGCAGCGTGACGTCACAAATGAACTCAGTGTTAAACGGCTGAACCTTTTTGACAGTTCAGTGGTACTGTTTACAAGCACTTAGTCGTTTTCTCGAAAAAAAATTTCTAAAGTTTCTGAATTTTAACTTGAAAATTGTCGAGGAACATTGCGTTGCAAGGATGTTGCTCGTGTACATTGCAGAAATGCTGTTTACATCTCACTGCAGTCTGAAAAATTATCGAGAAAATCCACCCAAGAAAAAATCGACTAAGTCCACGTAAACAGTACCAGTAAACTGTCATCAGATTGAGGTTAACCCCGACGGTGCAAAACCTAATGCTACCGACGTGCCAGGAAGGCAGCTCCCACACCTGGACCCTACCTATCGACCCATCAACTCATGAACCGGGGACCAACGGCTTTACTTCCCATCCGAATGAAGGCGTGATCAGAGATGTTATGCCTCAGAACATCCCGGCGGTGCCGACTGGGATTGAACCCAGGCCTGCTGAGGTGAGAGGTAATCACGCTTACCACTACACCACCGGCGCCGTTACTGCAGTACCTAATATTGATTTCGTTCCAACTGCTGATTCTAGCCCCGGGAAAAGCAACAGCAATCAACCCACCTATACGACAAGCCGGTGGAAAAGGAATTCAGGTCATTTTTTCCACTCAGCCCAAGTTGTACTCGTCGCTGCTGCTACTGCTGCTACTAAAACGAACAAAATGTAGAAATTTTCTTAGTGCTAGAAGCAAGGTTTGAACCTCCATACCGCAAAGCTGGTTTATCCACCACTGATGGAGCGACATCTGACGGAATTGATAGTGGAAGCTATTACTCAATAATTCAGTGCAAACATTTCAAAGGGGCGTAATTGCTTTTGTAAACAATGGCTTTAGCCGTCGATTTCTCCCAAATAAAAGCGCACTCATGAAAATTAATTACATCAACAGGAAGAGAAATGTTTCCTCTACCAGCTAGCATTGTTAATTTGGAAGAGTGAGCATTTATTTGCGAGAAATCAACGGCTAAAGCCATTGTTTACAAATGCAATTACGCCCCTTTGAAATGTTGGCACTGAATTGTAAATCGCGATTAGATAACAACTGTCGTCGGTTCGGTTCGTCTCGTCTCGTTTCGCGAAAAGCGTTTTATTTTGATCATTGTTGGTATCCGATTACGGTATCTTTGTTTTGATCCGCACTTGGTGACGATAAGAACGCCTGCAGCACGAGATTTTTAGTAGATTCAGCTGGTTCGAAATGAGCGGAGCACGAGACTTATCAAAGTTAAATGTTGGTTTTATAGGTGGTGGAAACATGGCATATGCCATTGCGGCAGGATTGTTCAAAACGGGTGTGTTGGGCTCTAAACTGATAAATGTAATTGCTGATAACATAATGTGTGCGTGATTTTAGGTGTTCTCAAGCCAAGCCAAGTTATTGTGTCTGCAACTAATCTGAAGAACCTGAAAACGCGGTGGAGTCCTTTGGGCGTTAACAGGGTCACCACAAGCAACGCACAAGTTTTGCTCGAAGCCGAAATCATTTTCCTCAGTGTGAAGCCACACATCCTCCCGGTTTGCCGTCAATCAATCTTAGATGAAGCGGATTCGCTGGAAAACCTTGCGGCGCATTGTGGAGAGAAGGTTATGGTTTCCATTCTGGCAGGAGTTACCCTGGAAAAGTTGAAAGACACATTTTCCTTTTTGAATATCCAACATGTGCGTACGATGCCCAATACCCCAATGCAAGTAGGAGCTGGATGTACCATATACTGCGGGGGATTTGACAACAACTGTCCAGGGGTAAATAGCTACAATCAATGCATTTGAGTTCTTCTGACTATTTTTGTTTTGTAGGTGGTACTGAGCTACTATGAAGACATTAAATTTATGCTGAATCAGCTAGGGCAAGCGTATGAAGTTCAAGAGGCGCAAATTAACGGAATTACCGGTCTGACCGGTTGTGGTCCTGCTTATGTTTATGAGATTATCGAAGCCTTAGCCGACGGTGGCGTAAAGCAGGGTATTGCTCGTGAAATGGCTATCAAAATGGCAGCCCAAACTGTGTTGGGAGCTGCAAAAACTGTGCTGGAAACTGGAAAGCATCCAGCCGTTCTGAAAGATGAAGTTTGTTCTCCGGGAGGCGCCACCATCTACGGCGTTCATGAGCTCGAAAAAGGAGCAATGAGAGCAACGTTGATGAATGCGGTTGAAAAGTCTGCTGCTCGGGCAAAGGAGTTGCAGTGAAGTATTGAAGCACAAATCTTGTTTCGACATGTTTTCGTTATTTGCACTATTCAATGTTCAACGTTGATGATATTCATAAAACAATAATATAATACTCATCGGCGTATGAAAGTTAAGCCCAATTTGTTCGCTCAATGAGAAAGCCTTCGGGGAATGTGGGACAAGATGGCAACCCTAACGAAACTCGAATAAAATTCCACAATAAATTTAAATTCCCAGGAAATAATTATTCCTGCATTAAAGTTTATGAGAGGTTTTAGACCCCTGACAAATAAGATTGCTTAAGTGTATTTTGTAGTTAATTGTAAATGTATCAGTTTATTTCTTTATTTTTGCATACACTAAAACTAAAGCAAGACTAAACCATATCTTTCTTGCTAACATACTCCACACATCTGGATGGATCGGTTGGGAAATAGTCCTGCATTTTCGTCATCAATCGTTTCAATCCTTGAATGTACTTTCGCTGGGTTTCGTCGTTCATCACATGGGCAACGTTTTTCGAGAAGATCTTCTCACGACCGGTACGAGCATGGATACCAACCATAGTGACACCGATTGGCCATGGAGCATTACCGATAGCCATCGTAAGGTACGCATCGCTGGCGTGAATGTAATCCCTCTTTAGTAGACTTTTGGTAATATCCGTCAAGCTGTCCAAAATATCTTCTGGAATACTTTTGTTGCGTAATTTTCTTAGCAATGGTTTTAAGTAAAGTCGAGTCTGCTCGAACGTAGCTCTAGCTATTTTCCACTTTGTCGCTGTACGTTCCGCCGTTGTTCCAGAGTTCAGCTGATCATTCCACATTTTAAGCATGAATTGGATCAAGGTTGTAATAACGTGCATATCATGTTCTTTGCCACTTCTTCCCAGACGAACGGCCATTTCCTGTATCGATTCATAGGTTACCGAATCATCTATGGCATAATCTTCATTCGAGCTCTTTCCTTTGCTTAGGCCAGTACCACTGGAAGTTAAAATTTCATTTAAATATTCCTCGTCTACTTGCTCCATTGCTTCTTGGAAATCATTTCGAAAACCACGATTAACCTCCGGTGCCGAAATCTCCAGCTGGCGCAACCGAGAGCATGAATCCGCTTCACTTTCTCCAAAGAGTAAAATTGGTTCTCCTCGTTCACGCAACTTTCTTATCACTTCCGTGCGAGGCAGGTTCCGGAAATCGAATTTAGAATCTTTTGTCGGGGATTTGTCACCATCGGCGCAATTGGCTTCTGATTCTCCGCTACCGCTTGCCAGTTGGTTATATTTCTCTTTGTATTCTTCCTGTTCCTGGGCCAGCAATTCCCCTCGTTTGAAATATTTTTTCTTTTCATCCTGAAGAATAGCGAACAGCTTAACTAATTTCTAGGATCTACCGAAGACAACATGTCAAGAGGACTGGCAACTCATACATTGGCTATGAGACACAGGCACAATCGCGTCACCTACTGCTTAAGTGTAAATACTCTGGCCGAATTTATAGCAATTATTATTTCAATTCTAGAAGACTTAGTGTATGTGTATTTGCTTATTTTGCTTTGCTATTGACGCATTGATTCTGGCTAAGTTACCAGTCTTCTTGATACCTATGTTGCCTTTGAGTCTGTTTAGCATCTATAAGTTCAAGGTTGATACTTACCACAAGCTTTTTGTCCTCCAAAAGCTTCCGTTTGCGTGCTATCTCTGCTTTCAGTATATCCATCGTATTTCCAGAATAGTTTTACGAAATTATATAGACTATTTCTCGCGTAACATTTGAAAAGGGCCTATGTCCAAAATGTAAACAAACCGATTTTTGATACCATTCTGTAGCACTGGTAATGAGCTACCAGTCGTATAGGAATGTTCCGCATTATCGATAAAAATCATTAAAAATAGCTTGATTTTAAAAACGGCCGATCCACCAAATTTTTCCAATCATTCATGCTAAAACGGCCTAACCTCGGGCCTAACATATATTTTTTTCGTTCGATGAGGTTCCATTCATAAGCCTAGCGACGTAGAAGGGCCGATGATTGAAAAATTTCAAATCAAAGCTAAGCCCTACTGCTTGAGGCAGGGCCGATGATTTATTTGACGTTAAGAAAAGGCTTAGCAAAGGGCCTACAATTTATGATGACAAGCACAACGGCTTAACAAAAAGGGCCTAACCATTTAAAGATTCACAAAAAGGCTTATTACTGTGATATTAAATTTTTATCGATTTTCATGTATTTTTGAAAACGTTTCGCATGTTTTGGATGTTGTGTACTGAGATATAGTTACTATTGTTATTGTGAACAATATAAATGCTTAAAATACTTCAATCTATTTATATAGGAATTAAATACTGGCGGAAAAATTTACAATTCATTTTCTGGATTGTTTACATTTTGGACATAGGCCCTTTTCAAATGTTACGCGAGATTTCCAATATTTTAAAACTCGTGAAATTTAACAATCAATAACAAAGGTTTATCTGCAGTTTCTTTTTGACAGATAAATCTTTGTAAACAAGCTCCAACACGGTAGTTCGATGTTCCTCAAAACTGAGTCCCAACTACACATTTTTTACCCTAACTCACGGTATGAAAAAAGTCTCAACGCATTAGTAAAAAATAAAACTGTTTGCCTGTGCACACGGCGAATGAGAACGACCCAAATTTGAGTTTAGTTCAATCATAATCGCCAAAAGTGCAGGAACTCAGCGATGAGTAAAATTTGTCTCATGGTTTCCTGTGGAAAACCTAAAAAATCTGCTGGAAAATGAGGAAATTGACGAATATTTTAATCAGTCTCGGAGAAGTACCAATAGACTGAGTGGATCCAATCTTTACTTTTCTCAAATTAGGGAATTTTTCCCTGGAAAAACCTGGAAAAACCTGGCCGTGCATGCACGTTTATTTTAACCATTTTTGATTATATATGAATATACTTTGGAATATACACAGCAAATAAAATTGTAACATCGATCAACGTAATTCAAGCTGATGTACGAAATATTGATGGAATAGCAAAAAGCAGATACAATATTACATCCGTGGATGTAAATTAGTTCACGATTTTTGTGTACATCGTGCAATGTAATATCACGCAATCGATGGAATGACCTGGTTGCAGCAGTTTGGATGTAATATTCAACAACTTTTTTTGCTGTGTACTCAATAATAAATAACAGATCTGATGAGTTTTTTTTTTCGGTTTACCAATAAACATAAAATAAATCACAAAAATCTAAAAACATGAGTAAGCATTAAGGAAACAAACATAGCGTAGGATTCCGTCAATTTGATACACCGCGCGGCCGGCGCCGGTGGTGTAGTGGTAAGCGTGACTGCTTTCATTAACCCCAATGGGTCTGGGTTCAATCCCAGCCGAGGTCGGTGGGATTTTTCTGAGGCATAAAAATCTCTGGTCACGTCTTTCTTCGGAAGGGAAGTAAAGCCGTTGGTCCCGGCCCATGTGTGTTGAATGGGTGCGATATCCTACGCAGGTGTGGAAGCTGCCTTCCTGCACATTCGATTGCCGTCGATGGATGACAATCGATGTCCGTCGGTGATTGGCACTAGATTGCGGAACAGAGGCCGACGTTAAATAAAGGAAAGAAGAAGAAGATACACCGCGCGGCATTTCAATTTTTCTCAAACGCGCATTTGCACAAAATTCTCCGCGGCCTTTGGTTTGTGAAAGGAACGGCCGCGTCGAGTGAAATGTCGCAATGTTATCTTCAATAAGGATTGAGTAAACCTGACGCTGAAAGCGCGACGCGCACTTGCCTAAAGCAAAACGCCGCGTGTTATTTTGTGCAAACAACTTATTGCGCATTTCACACCAAACTGGACTAAAAAGCGCGTTTTCACTTATTAAAAAGTGTGATTAAAGTGCGAGCTTCCGTCTAATCGTCTTAGTGTCTTGGGTGCACTTATTTCTTAAGATGAAGCAATAAGTGCTCCGAAGACACCAAACCGATTTGAAAATTTAAATTTAAATTTGTTCTTATTAGAATACGGCACCCTAACACAAAATGTTTCGTTGTATCATTGATGTAAGTACTGCACTAGTAGGATGCAATGCATATTTCAATACATTTTACGTTTCACATCAGCTAAAAAAACAAAGGAAGTTTGTGTAGCAACCAAGCAAACAAACTAATGCTAAATATTTTTGAAGTATTTTTAAGTATTTGAAAATATTTATAGGTATCTTTGATATCAGTATGAAATACCAAGAGAAATACAAAGTTTAGAGTGGGATGCCCCTAGGCGTGCCCCTTGGTTTATACTCTAAACATATGAATTATTCAAAGTTAATTGAAAGCATGTTTAAAACTAAAATATTTATGTTTGAATTAAATCGAAGACAACAAATCAAGAAGACTGGCAACTCTTCCATTTTCTCATACGAACGCTATGAGACAGGTACAATCGCGTCATCTGCCGCTCAAAGGTAAATGCTGCGAACGAATTTGATAGCAAAGATTACATCCTTAGAAGAGGGGTTTGTGTATTCGCTCATTTTTCTTCATTCTTCGATTTAATGCAAAAGTATGTTTATTTCAATAATATAGGATTTGGGTAAACGGTTTTTAGCGTGTCATGTCTTTTTATTTCCTTCTTCCCGACCAACCATTTTGTTAATTTTCTTTAATTTTCTATACATCGATCTTCAAAGCCATTCATAAGAAAAATCGATAGCGATCGTCACCATTTCATGAATAATTGTAAAGATGCTAAAAGTCTAATCGTGAATCGTTTATAAAGATCTGTCTCAAAATATTGCTACCAATCGTTACCAATGTTAAAATATCGATTGTGTTGCCAGATCAAAATATCGATTTCTGTTGTAAAATCAAAATATCGATACACAACTGCTGATTTTATTTGTGATTTTTTATCTGCATAATTTCTAGTTTCGATCCCAGGCCATCTGGGGTTTACTGATTTCGTTGTTGGTTGCTAATCCTCGGGTCCACGGCTGCTGTTGATGAGCTTATCAACGACAGGCAAACACACTCTAGTATGTGGTGTATTGAAATTTCTGTAAATCTTTTCAT